ATTTTAAACCAAACTCACAGTTTTGTAAAAATGTGAAATGTTGTACAGTGTCACAAATATGCTTTATTTGCTTGAGTATCCGCAGCTGTATCCCATCTAGACCGCATGCATAGATACATATATGATATATCTATGGGCTCGTGTTTACTTCCTGGCTAAGAGTTTGTGACGTAGTGTCTTGTGATTGGTCGATATACGCATGATGTAAACGAGACAACAATGCATTGCGCTTTTGGGTCGCAAAAATATATTTTTTATGACACGAATTAAGCTTAAATCCACAAAATACGCCAATATTGTGTATGTATACATGTTTATACGACTATATATAATACTTAAGATGAGAACTAAGACATTTTATCGTTTTGAGCTACTCACCGTCGTTCATAAGCACAAGCAGAACCCGACCTTTAAATGCGTAGAGTAGCCGCTCTTACCCACGTGTTGTATGAAAGGAGAGAAGGTTAGCACTCCCCTTGACAAGGATGGAAGAGGTCCTAGTGGCCTTCAACACACATATGGTTAAGGCATTGCCACCTACTTCGTGGCATCTCTAACCAAGTTTTTTATGGTTCTGTTTAATTGTTTTTGCAAATATGATAACATAGTATACCATAGATTATGCTCAATACGCAGGCGGTCTATCTGTAATAAATTACGTGTTTATACTACGTTATGAGGAGTAGAACGTGCTTATGAACCGTTTTAAAATATACTCTAGAAGTTCTGTTCTATTCTAGAACGTTCCAATGATCTATTCTGAAATATTCAACTGTCATGTTTTCTATTTATTTATCTTCAACTGTTGTTCCTCACTATGATGTATACATTGTCTTAACGGTACTCAAGGAAGTTTTATTATACTTCTTTTTATAACACATATTTTCTGCTATTTACTTATTCATTTATTAGTTTCTTTCTTTATTTTCTCCTCGTTTATTTATTTAAGACTATTTATTCGTGCATTTTCTTTATTTCATTTATACTACATAAATAATTTTTCTTATATTTTTTATTTTTTATTTATTTGTTTATTTTCTCCTTATTTATTTATTTATTTATTTATTTATTTACTTTCATTTACTTGAAAATTTCAATTTACTTATTTATGAGTACTTTATTACACAGTTGTTCAACCTATTTTGCCTTGTTTTTCTAAATTAAATAAATGTAATATTATTCTTGTCTTTTTTTATTTGTTTGTTTGTTTATTCTTTTACTCATTTACTTTTTTATTTATTTACTTTATTTATGTGTTCTTTTTTTACACAAGCAAGTTGCTTATTTAATCTTTTCCCCTTAATCTTTCTAAATTGATGTATTATTTTTTCCCTATCTATTTTTCTTATTTTTTATTTATTCATTCATTAATTTTTTTTTACTTTATTCAATTATGCATTTATTTATTATTTTGCTTAGACTTTACTCTTTATTTATTTATTTGTTTATTTATTTATTTATTATTTTTTTTGCTTAATTTCATTCTTTATTTATTTATTTATTTAGTTTTTGGCTTAATTTCACTCTTTATTTATTTATATATTTATTTATTCATTTGCTTAATTTTACTCTTTATTTATTCATTTGCTTAATTTCAATCTTTTTTTATTTATTTATTTATTTATTTTATTTATTTATTTGTTTATTTATATATATGTGTCATTTTTACACAAGCACTGTTTATTTAATCCTTTCCCCTTAATTTTTCTAGATTGATTAATTATTGTTGTTTTTCTTTCTTTTTATTTATTTATTTATTTATTTATTTATTTATTTATTTATTTGTTTATTTATTTATTTACTCCTTATTTATCCATTTGTTTATTTACTGTAATTCATTAATTTACTTTATGTGTTTTTTTACACAACCAATTTGTTTATTTAATAATTTTACCCCTAATGTTTGCTAAATAATTAATTAATTATTATTCTTTACTTCTTTTATTTGTTTTTGTATTTATTGTCTCATCATTTGTTTATTTATTTATGTGTTCATTCTTTTACTTTATTTCTTTATTATGTGTCTTTTTTATATCTAATTTTTTCCAAATCAATTAATTAATGATTATTATTTAACTTTTTCTTTCTTTCTTTCTTTCTTTCTTTCTTTCTTTCTTTCTTTCTTTCTTTCTTTCTTTCTTTCTTTCTTTCTTTCTTTCTTTTCTTTTTATTTATTTATTTGTTCGTTCATTCATTCATTCATTCATTCATTCATTCATTCATTCATTCATTTACTTTACTTTTATTTGTTTTTTTATGTGTCCTTGTTTGTTCTTAACTGATGTATTATTATTCTTTTCTTCTTTTATTCATTCATTTCTATATCATTTATTTAATAACACATCCCCTTTTCTCTCTGCCTTCTTTCTGCTTGGTCTTATCTGATCATGTGATCCAAATTATCATGTGACTTTCCTCAAATTAAGATGGCTACTATTTCCCATTACATGTTTGGCATTGACAATGGCCAACACTTGACCAAAACATTTGCCCTTTTTTTTACAGTAAACTGAATCTCATTGGTGTCTTTTTGATTTTTGATGTTTAAGACTCAATTGTGATCTTATGTCTATGCACCTGTTGGACAATTTTGGAGGCTGGTGAGTTTTTGGTTGTTGTTGTTTTTTTTTTTTTACTTCTAAAATGGTCTATAAGGTGCTATTAAAGTGATGATTAACACAAAAAATATTTTTCTCACTCTTTACCTGTTTTAAGTCTTCATGAGTTTCTATATTTTATTAAACACAAAAGAAGATATTTTCAAAAATGCTGAAAACCTGTAACCATTGACTTCCATATATTTGTTTTCCTATGAAAGTCAATGGTTACATTTTTTCAACTTTCTTCAAAATCCGATAAAGGTTTGGAAATACTTGAGGGAGAGTAAATAGTGGATTAAGAGTAAGTAGATAGTGTTAATATTGTTTTGAAGTCATACTTGTATGTTAATTCAGACTCAATATTCAACATAGCATGGTAAACACTGCTAAATGAACAAATGTGTGAATATAAAACCAACTCTACCTCAATAATAGTGAGCATGTTTTTGTTTTTGGGTGAATTGTCTCTTTTAGAATTTATAGAAAACTTCTGAAAGGATCTTAACGGTACTAGATTTTTCTAACCTGCAACATATCTAATGATACTAATGTGCAAATTCTACTTCTAATGTCTGATATAGAGGTAAAGTTGGTTTTATATTCGCACATTTAGACTTTCCCCTTAATAATATCATTTTATAAAAATATTATTTGCAAACTCTAAATAGTGAAATCATATTAGCAGCCAATGACTATCAAAGTACAACATTGTTCACAGTCAAATAAACAGTGTTAATGTTGTTTAGAAGTCACACTTGCAGGTTATTTCAGACCGAATATTCATGGTAAACAATATAGAGACTTCTAAATGAACCAATGTGTGAATATAAAACCTTTACCTCTACATGTCTGTTTCCCTATTTCAATTCAAGCTTATTTGTATAGAGCTTTTCACAGTAATTATGGTTTCAAAGCAGCTTTACATAAGGTGAGGACACTTTTTTTTTGCACTGGGATTTTATCCACAAACCTTTAGTTTCATCTCAGGTCATTAAAGCAGCAAATAAAAACAAATAAGCGACACTCTTTTGATTTAATGATTAGAAAAAGCATTGTTTTTTTTATTTAAATGTCTTTATATGGGCGTGAATTGGATGGCTGGATGTTTTTAAATGTTTTGATTTGTTAGAGGGTAAAGTCTAGATGGGATTCAGCTGTGGATACGCACATCAATATAGCATCATTTTTGTAACACTAATAATAATTAATATTTTTACAATACTGTGATGATTGGGTTTAGTGTTTGGGGTAGGCGTTGATGTTAATAAATTACAATTTAATGTGTAATATAATAAATAATATGAATTATTCTGGTATAATTACAGTTTTTTACATTACTGTGATGGTTGGGGTAGGGGTAGACATTAATAAAATACAATTAATGTTAAATTTAGTAAATAATATAAATAATTCTCATTAACTTCTGTCTGCAACTGTATCTGATCTAGCAAGAACCTTGTCAGAGCTGGAAAGGTTGTAGTTGATTTGCAATTAATATTTTTATATTTTAAAATTCCCAATTTATTTAAACAGGTTTATTTTAGTTTTTTAAACATTTCCTTTTTATCTTTGTTTTTTTCTTTATTTTTTAAAGTTATTTTATGTTATTTAATTTTTTATTTTTAAGTTTTATTAAATGTATGTTTATTTCTATTTAGTTTTTTTGAGTTAAATCTTTTGTTCTTTTGTTTTTCCTTCAATTTTCTATTTCTTAAACAGAATTAACAATGTGTGAAGTATATACATTTTTTGTGTATGTATATTGTGTATGTATGCATGTACAGTGTGTGCATGTACATAGGGCTTGTGTGTGTAGATATATGTAATTATGTGTATATGTAGTGTGCGTCTATCTGAGTTTATATTTGTTGTTTATTTTGTTCTATTTGTTTATACGTTTTTGTATCTTATGTTTTTTAATGCTTTTCTGTGAAGCGCTTTGACTTCCATGTATGCAGACGAAGTGCTTTACAAATAAAAATGTATTATTATTATTATAATTATTTTTATTATTATTACTCTTTATTTTCCTTCTTTCTTTCTGTCTTCATTTTTATTTCTTTATTTCTTTAAAGTTTTCACCTAATGTTTATTAAATTGTAGCTATAGTATAAGTATTATATATTAAATTTTCAGTGTGATTATGTTATATTTTATTTTACTTTACATTATTTTATTTATTTTTTTATATTTTATTTTATATTTTATTTTATTTTATTTTATTTTATTTTATTTTATTTTATTTTATTTTATTTTATTTTATTTTATTTTATTTTATGTAGCTCAGTGAAGATTTTAAGTCATCTTGCGCCCTCCTGAGGATGTTTGTACTACAGCGCAGTTACAGTGAAGTACAGAGCCAATGAAAACCATTTCCAAAACATCGCGAGGTTTACTTGAACGAATTAGCGGGAGCACCGGCGAGACTTCCTTCCATTTCAAACATCAGGCGGATCAGTCGACGATGTTTTTCTTTGTTGTTTTGTTTCGTTTTTAACACAGCCTTTGCTTTTTAATGTTTATAAACATTTAATTTTGTGAAAACAACGATAAAGAACCGATGGATTTAACAGAGGAGGATTTATCTGCTCGCGTGTTGTTGAGGAAAGTTCTTCACACAGAGCAACCGAGATCTCCTGTAACCAGAAGGTGGATTTTATTTCAAATGTCACCCAAATCTGTTGCGAAAACATGTTTTATACACGCACTTTTGTTAATTTTTCTTACGTAAATGGTTTATCTTTACACGTTTATGTAAACAAACCGACACGTTAATATATATAACGTTTAAATTTAACGCTTGAACAGGTTTATCTATCTATCTATCTATCTATCTATCTATCTATCTATCTATCTATCTATCTATCTATCTATCTATCTATCTATCTATCTATCTATCTATCTATCTAACTATCTAACTATCTATCTATCTAACATAACATAACATCTATCATAACAGTTATATACTCTATTTTAGTAGTTAATGTAATTTACTTTGTTGAAATAATACAATAACAATAACTAGTTCTTTAATACAAAAATAACCTTCATTGTCTATTTTTAAATCATACCCATCTTTTCTCTGATGGGTATGATTTATTTATTTCTCTGATGGGTACCTTATTTATTTGTTTTTTTATGGTTTCTTAAGCATTTTTAATTGTATTTTATGTCCTGTTGGAGTTTTAGTCTTCTGTGAGTTACATTACTTAGATTCACTTTGGGTGTTTTTAAAATTTATTATATACTTTATAAATTTAATTTGATGGATTTTAAATGGTTAGATTCAATAACCATAACAATGTTATTTGGAGTAACTAATTTACAATCCTATGTTAACTTTAAAATCATTTGGTATTTGTGTGAGTCGAGGACGTAAAAAGGAGTTTAACTAGCATCATAACAACTAGACATGGGACAAGAAACATTTTCAAGGTATACCGCGGTTTGGAAAAGTCAAGATTTTAAAACCGCCAAAATGTTCTGTAATACAGTTCCTACGGTATGTGTAAGATTGTCACTTTTTTTTTTTTAAGACAACAGTTTCTTCAGCTCAAAATTTATCCAAAGATGCCGTTTTAAATTGCAAAGAAATCTGTTTTTTAAACTAATGAAGACAGCAGAAGTGAATGTTTACTGTTCCAAAATATTATAAATCTTTCAAAAAAATAAAATATATTGTTATCAGAAAGTTTTGTTTTTTTACCCAGATATTTAAAAATAATATATTTTAGAGCAGTTATCACAATACCGTGAAACCATGATATTTTTATCCAAGGTTATCATACCATCAGAATCTTATACCGGCCCATGCCTAATAACAACAAAAGTTCTCTTTGGCATTAAAGTTTTCTATTAAAATTCTACAATGAGTATCTTGGTATCTATATTTTGTTGTGTGATGTATTGCACCAAATTATATTGCAATAAACAATATTACTGTCATATTATGACCATTTTATGCCACCTGAATGACAATATTATATCATCATGGTGCAAAGTACACTCTTCCAAAGAAGGCATAATATTTTATTCTTAAGAATATTTAATTTAATCATAGTCATTTTAACAGTTTAACAACTAGGCATCGGTGTCCGACTATCCGTATGTGAAAATGCGTATCCTAAATAAATAGTAACAAATTTAAACAACACTGCAAAGTTTAAAAAGCAACAGAGGCTGTGATATCTGCTAACAGATCTATTTTCAGTTGTCAGACACCCACATAAAAATATACTATAGTAATTTATAGTTAAGACTATAGTGTTTTTTTTAACCATACTGACACTGACACCTTCAATAGAGAGACAGAGATGTTGCACAGAGCTAAAACATTGCTAGAATAGTTTAAAAAAAATTTTTTTATGTATGGACGATATGTTGTATCACCAAAAATGATTGAGGTTATGTCCATGTGTTGTGCTATAAGACGATATATTAATTATTGTGACAGGACTAGGGTATTAAGTTATTTTGAGTTTATGTATTATGGTTTTGTGAACTTGTATTTTTATTTCATTAAAAATGTAGACCTTTGTCTGTAAAGCTGTTTGACAATGTTTAAACAGTGTTTTTAATAATTTTTTTTTTTTTAAAAACAAAAGAGCGGTGTTAGACGAAAATACAAGGCAAAATCATGCTTATTAGCTTTATACCTTAGTTTCAGATACATTACACCATAACAAAATTATTCACATTTCTACAAAGAAATATTTGTAATATTATATTTTCTGTATGCTATTTCATGATATTTGTGATATTTATACTGATATTTTCAATGTTTCTGATGTATTTACAGTGCAAACAGTGTACGGCGGAGTGCTAGGATGAAACATGCCGCTGGATTGGAGAGTCCTGGATCTGCCTTGCGTCACAGACTCAAGAAGAAACTCCATGAGGTAAATCATGTGGTGTAATCAGTGTTGGGGACAGTTACTTTTGAAAGTAGTGCGTTATAATATTGCATTACTCCCCTAAAAAAGTAACTAGTTGTGTTATTTGGTTACCTTTTATTGTAAGTAATGCGTTACATTAGTTTTGAGTTGCATTTGCATTACCTTTTATTACCTTTGCTGAGACTTAATTGTTTTTTTCAGAACTTGCAGAGTTTTTCTTCTTCTTTTTTTAATAGAGCTCCGCAATTAACAATGCACTCTATAACCTACATTTACCTTTAAAAAACATAGAAAATAATAATATGGGATAATGTTATCTTGAGAACTTTCTGTCGCCAGAGCTATACATACTGTATATACAGATTCATAAAAGTTGAGTAAAATCACTGTCCATTGAGACCATCCCCTTTTCCCTTTTTTTCATACATTTAAAATAATGAAAATTCTTCCATCACAGAAATGTAAGCCAGAGCCATCCTGGTTTCTGTCTGTTCCCGCGGGGAGTGCATTCTCTCATTAAGTGCATATTCAATGTGACTGTGTTAATTTTAATTCTGCAATTTATTTGTAAGAGCTAATTAATTAAAATAAAGTAGCTTGCATTACATTTATAATTGCATCTCTTTATTAACATTTTAACTATTAATTACAAAAAACATTAAAACAAACCAACAGACAGTGCATTTTAACAATGCTAAAGAAAAACAAAATCCATTTTTGTATATTCACAATTAATAAAATAATTATAATAAATAAATAATAGTAATAACAATTGACAATAATGATAATATGTAAAGCATGTTCTCCCTGCCTTCGCGTGGGTTTCCTCCGGGTGCTCCGGTTTCCCCCACAGTCCAAAGACATGCGGTACAGGTGAATTGGGTAGGCTAAATTGTCCGTAGTGTATGAGTGTGTGTGTGGATGTTTCCCAGAGATGGGTTGCGGCTGGAAGGGCATCCGCTGCGTAAAAACTCGCTGGATAAGTTGGCGGTTCATTCCGCTGTGGCGACCCCGGATTAATAAAGGGACTAAGCTGACAAGAAAATTAATGAATGAATGATAATATGTAAATAAACAAACAAAAAAAAAACATTAAAGATAAAAACAATAATAAGTGTTTTTTCCTTATGTTTTACTTACTTTTACTTGCTATTTTTAACAATGTGTTACTTATAAAAGTAATATTATTGTGTAACTTGTGTTGCTTGTAATGCGTTACTCCCAACACTGGGTGCAATAATTAAATCTTCTGGAACTATGAAGTGTGTAACAGCATGGTTAATACCTTCATCTTCTGTTTTAGAGTGCTGCAGCTTCCCCTCTCCCTTTACCTAAACGTATGAGGTCATCTGTAGTGAAGCAGGACCCTCCTAACATGGCCCCATCCACACTGGATGATGAGGACCTGACGACTCGTGGTCTGCTCAGGGGGATCATTCACATGGGTTAGTGTATAGCTAATAATCATTCATTCTGTTTCTTTTGATCGTCAAACCTGGAAATGTTGTTGCTGTTGAGAAATAGAGATGATTGACTCCAAGTAAAATGTTTGTGCACCAGAATTATTTTAGTTTTTTAAATGAGTTAATTAATCTATTTATTTTCTCGATTTCAGCTTTTGTTTTAACTTTTATTTTGACTTAGTTTTTTTTTATAGTACATTTACATTTACATTACATTTAGTCATTTAGCAGACGCTTTTATCCAAAGCGACTTACAAATGAGGACAAGGAAGCAATTTACACAACTAAGAGCAACAATGAATAAGTACTAAAGGCAAGTTAGTACTTTTGTTATGTGTATTATTTTAAATATACAGTTGAAGTCAAAATGATTAGCCCTCCTGTGAATGTTTTTATTCTTCAAATATTTCCCAAATTATGTTTAACATAGCAAGGCTATTTTCATAGTATTTTTCGAAATATCTTTTTCTTCTGGAGAAAGTCTTATTTCATTTAGTTTGGCAGGAATAAAAGCAGTTTTAATAAAAAAAAAAACAATTTTAGGGACCCTATTATTTTATTAGTTATCATGGCAAAGACAAAATAAATTAGTTATTAGAAATTATTTATTCAAACTTATGTTTAAAATGTGTATAAAAAACTTTTCTCTATTAAACTGCACTTAAGAAATAATTTTAAAAGAAATATTTAACATAAGGGCTAATAATTTTGACTTCAAATATTTATTTATTTATGATTAGCTTTTAGTTTTAGTATTTTAGTTATTTTTCATATAGCTGGCTAAGTCAACTAGAGACACAATTTCATCTATTTTTATAATAAAAAATATATATAGTCATTTATTCTTGATTTTCAATTTACAAAAAAAAAACATAGTTGTAGTTCACACATTAATAAAACACGTATGTAGATTTAATTTTTGTTTTGTTGCAGTTTTCTTATTCTGTCTTCTTGGCACACTTTTAATAGCTTGCTTTAAATAGAATATGAAATTGTCAATGTGATTTTAATTATATTTTGAAAATTTTCATATTCAATTCAATTCATCTTCTATAGCGCTTTTACTATGTAGATGTGTCAAAACAGCTTTACTGAAAGTCTCAAATTAAAAAAACTACATTTTAGGCCTTAAAAGTCTTAAATTCACTGAAATATTGCCCTTTAGGTTATAAATCTTTTTAAACAGGCCTTAATTTTGATCTGTCCATGTCTTCAATCACCAACTATCCAAACACACTGTTAACTAAACCCAGAAAAGTTATGTTAAAAAATTTGCTTTTATACAACTAGGGTTTGCTTGTTTTAACACATTATTTAAGATATGTCTCAGAAATATAATTTTTTAAAGAATTTTTTGGGTGAGGCAAGTAAACCTTTTCCGTAGGACCAATCAGACCATTAGAAAAATCCTTTGTGTTTAGCCCTGTATAAGTCTGAAAATTCATTCATAACTGTCTGAAAGACTTCAGTTTGACACGGTGAAACCTGCAGATCTGATTTTAATATTTCACCTTTGTGTGTTTCAGAGACCGAAACATCGCTGTTGATGTCGGGTCAGCCTGCACTACAAGAATCAGAACCGAATCCAGAGACCAGTGTGTCCAGTGCTGGGGAAAGAACGTTAGTACCTCTTCATTCCCATGTACCCTCACTAGTTCTATACATGTCGTGTTGATGTGTTTGTGTTTTTCTCAGTGAAGGTCTATCTGGAGCCGAGCTGTCTGATCTGACTCTGCACACTGAACCCTTGACGCATGTGGTCCGAGGACTGAGTCGCAAGAAACAGCAGCGCGTCTTCAGTGTGTCAGCGCTTGAGAAACAGTTTGATCAACTGACAGGTATTCATTTATTATTATTTTTTATATTTTTTTTATATATATATATATATATATATATATATATATATATATATATATATATATATATATATATATATATATATATAGACAATAACAGTACAAACAGGAAAAAAAAAAAGACATTGACTAAAAAAAAATCTAAATAAACCACACTATAACCCTCATATTGTGCGACATAGTATATGACATGCATAAACCCTATATGATGTGCATAAATCAATTTTCAAATTGAGCATATAAACAGGTCGGTACCAGACGTTGAGGTTGACAGCATGGTGTATTAAGTAAAATAAACAATAATAATAAAATAAAATAAATAAAAAAATAGAAAAGAAATAAAAAAAAAAAGCGAGAGAAAAGGGAAAATGTATTAAACTAAATAGGCTGGGGGCTGGCACGTTCTTAAAACTTGTGGTTTTATGTCAAGAAAAAGGTGTATGTTTGTGCTATATCAGCAGCACTAATACTCAACTGGAAGCACATAAATATTTCTTTTTTAAATATTTCCCAAATGATGTTTAACAGAGCAAGGAATCTTTCACAGTATTTCCTATATTATTATTTTTTTTTATCTAGAGGAAGTCTTGTTCGCTTTATTTCGGCTAGGATAAAAGCAGTTTTAAATTTTTTAAAAACTAATTTTAAGGTCAATATTGCTAGCTCCCTAAAGCAATATTTTTTATTATTAATATTACTATTAATTTACATATGTTTATTTCATTTTATGTTTATGTGTGCAGTTGAATATTGACATAATGGATATTTTATCAGAATAAATTGACAATAACACAAACCTGCATTATATTACTTATAGTCGAACTAACAATAGAACTAGTTTGTTGTTTGACTTTGCTTGAAGTATCTGGGGACTTTACAGGGGTAGTTCACACAATTAGTTTTTGCTGAACACGATAGAAGATCTTTTGAAAAATTGTAAACTTCCATGCTATTTGTTTTTACTACTACTGTATGTAAGTCAATAGTTGCTGATTTCTAACATTCTTCAAAATATATTAAAATATATTTATTTATACATTTATTTATTTTTTATCTCTCATCTCGTCTCATCAAGGTTTAGAAACACTTCAGGGTGAGTTTTATTTTTTTAGATGAATTATTCCTGGTAACTTCTGGTAACTTCCATGCTGTTTTTTTTTACTACTGCTGTATGTAAGTCAATGGTTATTGATTTCTAACATTCCTCAAAATATATTAAAATGTATTTATTTATTTATTTATTTTTTAACTCTCATCTTGTCTAATCAAGGTTTACAAAACACTTCAGCGTGAATTTTGTGTTTTGGATGAGCTATCCCTTTAAATTATGCATTACAAATGCTCCTTTTTGTCAATTAAATTGGACTCGTTTTGTTTATTTCTGCATTGCATTAAAGCTAATGCATAAATTGGGTTTATTTGTAAAATATTTATTAATATTTTTTCAACTCTGCATTATCCCAATTGTAAGTAATAGGCAAATTTAGCAAATTAGCAGGGTTTGTTTTTTAATATGAATGGGGTATGTATTTCATATACAACACGCCACGTACAACAGGCCATTTAATGTTGAATTGGCCATAGAGAACAGGTCGTGCTCAACTGAGCCTGGTTTTTCTTAAGGTTTTTTTTCCCCCTCACTTTCATCAATTGGTGAGGTTTTGTTCCTCGCCACTGGCTTGCTTGGTTTGGGACTTCGGAGCTGCGCATCGCTGGATTTGCTCTTTAGTGTTTGGATGTTCAGCAGTGAAATTTACATTGGACTGACCCTAAACTGAAAACTGGAATGAAGAAGTTTTAATTTACTAGAATTATTCTATGTTAAACTGCTTTGACACAATTTCCATTGTAAAAGCCCTTTAGAAATAAAGAGGAGTTGAATTGAATTTTTTCTCGCTATGTTTTTTGCTTTTTCTATTTTCACAGATAACACAGAGGACGTCTCGCGTGTCTCTGAAAGAGGTGATGTTTTCCAAGAGAAACCCGATACATCTCAGGATTCAGATTTTTCTGCTGGCTCAAAGAGGTAAAAGCTTTTCCGTGTTTCACAGTAGATTGCCACTGAGTTGACAATAAATGAAATTGATTGCTTGTTATTAGGATACTTACAATTGACTTGCTTTCATGGCATCTTTTTGTTGGTTTTGTCGACCTTTTTCCTCCAGTTGAACATTCAGTAAAGTTTTTAGCTGAACCTGTTGTCATTAAGAAAGTCTACTGGCATAATGAAAGCAAAAAACAAATAGAAAAATAATATTTGTGGCTTATGAAGATGAATTATTGGACTTATGATTGAGCTTCCTGTTGCATAATAACATGTATCTAAACATTATTAATTTCCAGTTCAAATGATTTCCAAATTCCGAAAGTGATAAGTTTCCTTGCATATTTTGGATCATCAAAGAGTCATAGTTTTAGTTCATTATCTTCTTTGAATGTTTTACTTAAAAAACAAAACAAATGTAACTTTTTTTTTTGTAAACTATTCTGTGAACTTTATTAGGTAATGAAATGGTTTAATGGAAATGTGAAGTCATTGAGCACGATTGAGGCGTTTCAATGTGATTCTTCAAGTTTGTGTTCTGTCAGTGGGCTGAACCTGACATTGAAGACCCCGTTTGTAGAGAGACGCTCTGAGAGGGCGGTGCTCCAGAGAAAAGTGTCCAATAGGAGGCTGCAGTCTGTGGAGGCGTTTGATGAGGCCGTTCAGAGATGCTTGGAGCAGGGTCCTAACCAAGGTTTCTATACTTAATGTTTTTGTGTAATTTATGTTTTGTAAAATGAATATAATTTCACCAGATGACTTAAATAGCTTTATTTGGAAATAATTCAGAATTTGGGACTGATTGGGATGATTTTGTACAACATTTAATCCATAATTTAGATTAATTTAGATTTAATCTCTTTATATTTTTTTTTAGTTAAAGTCTTCTTTTTAAGATCTTATGAGAGATCTTAAATTTTACATGATAGTGTGACTTTTTCAAAGAATAACTGCTTCTATTCTCTGTGCATTCGTTTGTTGGTGTGACAGTTCAGAATGTGTATGATGGTATGTTAGGCTACATTTCTTACAGAAACGAAAGAGTGAACCAAAGGAAATTGCTTGAATGCATCTTGAATTGCAGGTTCATTCTGTTTACCTGTTTACGTTTTAGTAAAAATAAAAATTAGGGCTGTAACGATACACGATATAAAATCGAAATCGCGACACTCAGATCTACGATCCTGTGTCGCGGTGTAATAAGGAAGAATCGCGACACACCCACCCCGTGATACCTTTCCAATAACGTCACGCGTGCCTGCAAAAGTTGAGCTAATTAACACTTTTTTTCGTTCAACATTACAAACACTGCTCCGTTTAAGCCCTCGCAATATTTAGCCGGGAGAGCTCGCACAGAGCTCTTAGTAAGGGACCGTCTAAATGTCTCAGGAATATCAAAAACAAAACCAACTTAACCCCGCTTGACAACCGACAACGCCAGAAACATTGCCAATGCTGTCAAAGCGGCCGGATTTTTAGCGCATATACGATGAATTGCTCACACTGTTAATGTGGCTGCGCAGAGAGGGATGGGTGTTCACCAGATGTCAGGTAACAGCCAAACTTTTCTGTAACCGTGCAGTGCGCTTTCTGTTTGAACCTTTGGGAGTGCTGACTGACAGGTGCGTGAGGTCAGAAAACACGACGAAGCTTTCAGTTAAAATAAACACAGTTTCTATAGTTATAGCCTACTTTATTTAGAGATAAAGGTATATGGCTCTGCATATAATATATCTTGCTGGAGTTTATAGCCGTTTCGCTTTACTTCAGGACGCATTAACACCGCTCTGAAGGTCTAATCGTTGTTTTAAGTTATCCAGAGCTGTATGAATATACATATCTTGAATATCACAATAGTATTAAATATTAAAATTGTAACAACACAGACAGCAACACTTTTGCACAATCGATACCCAGCTGATTCAGTCGTTTCATAAGAGGACCGCGCCTCTTCTTTTTTCCTTGTCAACATAAAGGCAGTAAGGTGCGCCTTGTTTTCGGCCACTTGTTTAACTGCAAGGCATACTTAATTTGCGGGATGATAACGTATAACCCGTGCCTACAGACACATTTGCTAAAGAAGCAAAATGGAAGAAGAATATTGCTGTTTGATACAGACCTGTTGATACTAAACCAGCGCTTATGTTGACCTGGATCTGCGTAATAAACGCAACAAATAGGCTTTACTTATTATTTTACAGCTTAAAGCATGTACGCAGATTAATGCAATATCATATTTAAACAAACTGTTTACAAAAAGTCTACATATGCGCGCGTGTTGTTGTCTTTTCATCACGCAGCGCGCGCACTTGAACCGCGAGGGAGAGAGAGGAAAGCATAGGCTATATCAGGACATAATCTTTAAAATAAGGATTTCTATTAAAATGTAAAAGGTTTTGTGATTATAATAATAACAGCGGGGCATTAAATAAATGCATATTTTCCGTGGAGCAAGCAATTTGAGGAAGTCTGCGATTTTTATTTGACGGAAGAAATAAACATATGATTGGAAAAAAAGTCTATGCCGGTTATTAAAAAGAATCAGTCAGTATTTTCGTTTTGTAATATAAATTAATTATTTAAGTGAAAATAATTTAGGGCAGTCCTATTTATTTTATTCATTTTATTTAGATTATTCTGCTCTTCTGTGCTAAACACTGCAGGTGCATGAAGATGCTCTGTTGTTCTGTTCCGCTATTAATATATAAAAATAAATCAGTATTTTAAAATGCAATATTTAATGTGTCAGACACAAAATAGACACGTCAATTTGTTTAATATAAATTTAATAGTAATCTGACCAGTTCACCGTTAATAACCGATTAATGAGCGGCGGTTGTCGGTTAGCAAAATTAACGAAATGAGCATCCCTAGCTATTTAATTTACTTTTTCTATGCAAGAGAACTTGATTGAAAAATAATTTTCAACATGCTTGAACCATCTAAACAATGGAGTTTAGTTTGGTTTTTCAACAGTATTTTGTTACGAAGAAAACAGAAGTGATATAGCTTTGGCTATTTATTTTATATATGGCTATTTATATTGTTAATAATTTGCATAGTTAATATTGTTCTTTGATGTTTAGTTTATAAAGATTTTTCAAATGTTATTTAATTAAAATAGTTTTAAAAATCTTTTTTTTTCCCACCCCACACGAAAAAAATAAAATAAAAAATCGTGATACGAATCGAATCGTGGGTCAAAAATCGTGATACGAACCGAATCGTGGGTTTGGTGTATCGTTACAGCCCTAATAAAAATATTGTTTAGATTAATCACAAAAAATGTCAAAATATATTGATATATAATTGATTTGTTTATTACACACCCTAATGTAGAGTTACATTTTTTTTTAAATTTAATTTTACATTCAAAAGTAAAATATGATTGTGCAGCAATGTGGTTTCTCTCCTGTTTTTTTTTATTTATTTTTTTTTATCAATATTTCAAAAGCAACCTAACTTCCAGATATATATCAATTTGCAATGCCCTATTTTTAATGTTATTAGACAATGATATTTATCTTTAACCCTTACGTGTTGTTGGGGATGTTTCATCCACTCTGGTGTGATTTTTGAGGCTTAATTTGGCCACAACTTTCTCTGTGTTTCAGCAAATGGAATGATTTTTGGTGGCAAATCTTATTTTGAGATATATTTTGGGAAAATGCTTTGAAATTTTTAAAAATTTAAAAAATACACTGAGCAAATTGACTACCCATTCATTATGTTAGTGGCTATTTTTGCCCTATTGGCTTCCATTATAATGACATTATTTGATAGCAAATCTGTGACACCATATAAATATCCATTCTTGATTGTTGCTAGTTTTCCCTGTTGGGAAGAGGTAAATTAAACATTTTTACTAGTTGCAGTGCGAAAAACTTAGTTTCTGGATAAAAATTATATGGTTATATGGAGTATAGTGGGCGTGGGTGAATGTGTGAGAGAGACCTTTGCGCTCTAACCTTGATATGTTTGAGAAAACAAGAATTAAGCTTTTTTTTTTTTTTTTTTTTTTTTAAATTTTCACTGGCCTATCTAGTGCCCTGGGTTAATACTGACAATGGAGCATCAGCAATAAAAATTAAAAGGTTTACCTCTTCCCAACAGGGAAAAACACCAACAGTAAAGAATGCATGATTATTTGGTGTCATGGCTTTGCAATCAAAAAATGTGGTTATATTGGAAGTCAGTGGGGCAAAACAGCCCTAAACATAACGAAATTACAGTCAATTTGAACAGCACACAAGGGTTAAAGGATTTATTTTTAAATGTGTATCCCTCAAAAATGGTAGAATTTTAATGGAAAGTAAATCTTAAACAGTTTAAGATTTGTGGCTTGTTTTTTATGCAGTAATTATTGTATTTGTTATTGTTAGAAATCCTTTTTTATCAAGTAAAGTTTACAAACTAATTTTGAGAGGAGCACGTGATATGATCGACTACAGCTGATCCTTATCGCTGATCATTAGCTAGCCTATCAGATCATTCTAAAACTACTATAAAAATCCTGCCTAAAACTTCATTCCCTATCTTCGTTTTTTGGAGAAAAAAAATCCTCTGTCATTTCCTTCTCCCTCCTCCTTATTCTTTGATTGAGCGACATGCTGGCTTAGTGGCTTGCACTGCTGCCTCGCAGCGGGAGGGCCAAAGGTTTAAGTTCTAATTGAGCCGGTCGGCACTTTCTGCGTGGAGTTTGCATGTTCTCCCCATGCGCGTGTGGGTTTTCCCCGGGTGCTTCGGTTTCCTCCCACCATCTAAAAACATGTACGAATTGTAATAACAGTCAGAAGCACTTAACGCATACATACTGAATCAATCAGAACCACCATATTAGCCATAGTATAAAATGGGGCTCTCGATAAATACCTGATCTTGTATTTCTCCTAATGCTCATCGACCAGGCGGGAACCTTAGGCTAATCTATCACCAAGCTCAGTGTTCTCTCCCGGGACAGAATGCCAAATTTGTTATTGTAGTTATCGAGCAGTATCTAAGTGTGAACTTTTGAAAGTGTAGTTATGTATGTTTTTTTTGTTTTTAACATGTGAAATCCAGACAAGCTAATACGCCAATAATCTCAAATCTCTCTCCTGTTTTTCTCCAGAACAATCTGTATCTCTGGCAGGAAAAACTCTGGACGATTCTTCATGGCAGAAGTTCACACTAGGCCTCAACGATGTAACAGAGCTTTACGTCCAGATGAAAAAAGACGACACTGTTGAACCGTCTGCTGAGATTGACAATGACGAACAGGCAGAGACAGAAAAGGATGAACAATATCATGTCAGTGAAATTCCTAATGATCGAGACTCAAAGATATTAATTCAAGACGAAAAAGAACATGAGATGGAGTCACTACTACTGGATGATGAAGAGGTGGTGCCTTCTTCCCAAGAATCCCCAAGAGATGAAGTGTTTCTCAATACTGAATATGATATTATACTTGCTCCAACACAAGCAATGACCGAATCACTTCCCGAATCTCAGAATGCAGAGCTAGAAGGTCAATTATCAGGTGAGAATGATGTGGTTGTGGAGGAAATTGCTCATGAGGAGATTGTGGAAGATGTTGAACACGAGAACGTGGTGGAAATTGAGGCTGAGGAGGTTGAATATTCTGAAGAGAACTCTGATGGTCTGAATTATCCAGAGCGAATAACTCGCAGAGCTCACCGTTCAGAGGGAGCAGGGGCTGTCTTGGCAATTCCAGGCACTACAACAAGAGTCACAAAGAGTTTTGGAGCGGGATTGAACCCCAGAGAAAAAGGTGAGGACAAGGAGACTGAAATGACAATGGCAAATTTCACATTTACAGGTTTCCTAGTAGCGGAAGTCGTCATAGTTGTGTAAATTAATGCCCAGTTCAGACTGCATGATTTTCAAAGTAGTCGTGTCACAGATGTTTTCACACTGCATGACTACCTGGGCGTTTCGTCGCTGCTTTCGGCGACAGGGACTTTCACATTGCATGACTTTACTATAGGAAGAATCGCCGACAACTTCGTCCAAACTATGTCTCACAGCCAAAAACACGTAGTATATCTTTTGTTATTAACTACATAATGAGAAAGAAGCCTTTAATGGGGTAGAACATGTACATGTTTGCTCACCTGGGTTTAAAGGGAATTAGCCATTTCTCCTCAACGTTGATAATAAACTAATTTCTTTCTGTATGAATCGTCAAACAGACACGGTTGCTTCTGAGTCCTGTCAAACCTACACCAGTTTTTCCTCCATTTCGTGGGTCCAAATAAACCGAAAATGAGCGCTTTTAACTTCTCCCCCAGCCTCCCGCTGGCCTGCAGCAGGTATACACACAAGCACACACAAATGAAAGCTGCACTCTCATTGGCTGTGGGCGATGACTGATGTTATTTTCAGTCAAAACTCAATTCACACGGCATGATTTGAATCGCCGACAGCTCCAGATATTCAGCACGCCAAATATCTCACAGGCATCGGCGACTCATCGGCGATTCTCTCAGATCGCGTCTTTGAAAGTTCATACTGTGTGATTGTCACTCACGTGCACGAGGACCGATTTGCATGTGATTTCAGGCATTTGTCGGCGATTTCTCAAAACCTGTCGGCGAGCCAAAATCGGGGCTAAAATCACGCAGTCTGAACTAGGCATTAAAGTTCAGCCAGGGAATGGGAGAGTACAGCAAATCAATTTTTTACCATTTTATTTGCTGAAATAATAAAAGAAAAACAACATGCTGGTGCGGATGGTTTTATACCACTTATTATATAATGTCAGAACGACAATATAATATCATCACAATGCAGGTACAAGCATCCAAAGAACACATCATATTTTATTCTTAAGGATATTTCATTTAATTATAGTCATTTTAACAGTTTAATAAGCTGGCATTGGAATCAGAATGTGAAAATGCATATCCTAAATAAATAATAATAAATGTTAACAATAAAAATGCATGATACAAAGTAACAGAAGCTGCAATATCTGCTACCAGATCTATTTTCATTCGTTAGGCACCCACATGAAAATATACTATAGTAATTTATAGTAAATACTAAAGTGTTTTTTTAACCATACTGACACCTTTAACGAAGATAAAGATGTTCCACAATCAGCTAAAATGTTGCTTGAATTGGTTTTTATGTATAGGCGATATATTTATTGTATCCAGGGGTTGACATTAACTTTTTTGATCACCAGCCAGTGTGGCTAGTAGATTTCCAACATTACTAGCCACTCGCCATTTTCACAAGCCACACTTTTCTTGTTGGGAAAATATATTTTGCTTAAATTTGACTTTGACATGCTAAAATGACTTGATTTAGATGTTGTGTTTTGTCCACATGCCTTCTCATTCATTTAACTTGTGTGTATTGTGTAATAGCTTGCTCAGTGTGCATGAGCAAACGGGTTGTCACAATGCAATCAGTTTTTATTTTACATGACTTTACAGGGCTCAAAATTAAAGGATTTACCAAATTTATCTCTGACCACACCAAATGAGTATTTCTTAGCCACAATTTTTAATGCTTCAAAACAAGGAAAATCTAGTTATAGGTGCACTTTTTAATTCAACAAAACTTTTCTTTAAAAAAACATTACATTTAAAAAAGAATTATTGTCATGTCTCTAAAATATGCACAGTAATCTGTCCTGTCTAAAAGTCCCACATCACCAGTTAACTACACATAAATAATCTCCCATTAAAGCAATGTTATTGTAAAAAATTATAATTAAACCATATTAACAAAAATAACTGTGAGCAAAAGAAAGCAGGAGAAACATACTGTGTTTGATAATGAAAGGATGTTCACGGGCACACGGTTAATACAGGCCTTTTAATAATCTGTTCAAAGAATAATTAAAATTAAAGCAGTGACTGGTGCTGCTTACAAAACATAGAGCTCTATTTTGACGGTCCATGTGCAGAGCGCTAAACGCAGGGCGCAAACGCTTTTAGGGCGTGTCAGAACGCATTTTTGCTAATTTAAGGATGGGAAAATCCGCTTTGTGCCGTGGCGCATGGTCTAAAAGGGTTGAGTTTGTTTTCTTAATGAGTTATAGGTGTGTTTTGAGAATAAACCAATCAGAGTCTCATCTCCCATTCCCTTTAAGAGCCAGCTGCGTCGCGTCATAAGCGCATTTTGACGTAAAGTAAGTTCACTTTTGCTTTTGCTCTCATGGATGGGGAAACCTTTACGCACGGACATCAATTAGCCTATAAATAATTAATTTGGTTTGTTATGCACAAAGATTTGTTTCAAAACTATTTCTAAATTCAGTTCTAATTTCTAGCAAACGAATAAATGAACAATAATAACCAAGTGTGGTCAAAATACTGAGTTATTTCCAAATACACCTGCCATGCCCCATATGGTCTAAAATTTGACAGGTGGACAAATCTAAGCTTGTTTTTAATAAAACAAATATAAATATGGATATAATAAATAATACTGCTAATAATAATAACATTATACAAAATGCAAATTGAATGAACTGAAAAAGCCTCCCGAGATGAAGAAAGTAAGGCAGTGGTTTTTAAATCTTCATGTAGGCTAAAAATTAATATGTTTTGTAATATTTTAATCATTTATATCCTGTATATATCCTTATATATATACTTATCCTTAAAAGCTCTTAAAAGCTGCAGGACTATCTGTGGGTGAACGATCATAGCTCTTTGTCCTGTCTATTTCAAAGTGAACAGATCGCACCAGTTGCTTTTCTTTTAGTGATGATTGCTTTGCGAAAGTAAACGAGAGCGCGCACACTTTTTAACAGTCGCACGCATCAAATCACATCACCTATGCGTGCGAGTGATCATCCTCTCGTTCAACATTTACCTTCTTTTTTGCTGTTTTGCTCGCGCGAACACAGTTATTTTTGTCAGTCCTGCTGCTTCTCGATTCTAAGATCACATTTGCACGGGTATTGGTTCATGCTTACTGTCGAACCCTGCTTTTAAGAAAACTACACTTTGTAGCAGATTTCCAACCAGCCAAAGTGGCTAGTGGAGGTGTCTGTAACCCGCCAGAGCTGACATCTACTCGCATTTGGCGTGTCGGCGGGTGTTAATGTAAAGCCCTGATTGTATCACCAAAAATTATTGAGCTCATGTCAATGTGTTGTGGGATAAGTTGATATATTGATTATTGTGACAGGCCTACTTTTAATACATACATTATATATTACCTACTGTGCTGTTGAGTGTGTAAGTCCATAAGTGTATAGTGTGTCATTTGGACCGCAGTGATGGTCTTTTCTAATTTAACAGGTAGGTTCATTACTAGTGCTAGCTAAAATGGGTTTACATTTGAATGTTTGTTTTTGACGCTTAATGTTATTGTTGTTCAGATCTTCTGGATTTAATCGATGGGGACAGAGAGAGTGTGGAGAACATTTTAGATGAAGAAAGACAAGCACTTGTCAGTCCTACGTCTCCCCAATTCCACCATGAAGAAGTAATCATCACATCTGAGCAGAGGTCAACACAAAATGAAGCTAGTTTGAATGAAGATGATCTGCCGCAGTTTACTGAAAATGAGGATGTCAACCAGTCAGAAGAGAAGAGGGAGGAGCTAATAGATTCAGAGCCTGCCAATCAACCACCCGAGCCTGCAGAGGAGCTTATAGAGTCTCAATCAGCCAATCAGAGCACTGAGGCTGATGAGGAGAAGGAGCTAATAGACTCTGAACCAACCAATCAGAGCACTAAGCCTGAGGATGATGAGGAGGAGGAGGAGCTAATGGACTCTGAACCAACCAATCAGAGCACTAAGCCTGATGATGATGAGGATGAGGAGGAGCTAATGGACTCTGAACCAACCAATCAAAGCACTAAGCCTGATGATGATGAGGAGGAGGAGGAGCTAATAGACTCTGAACCAACCAATCAGAGCACTGAACCACCACAGGATGGGGAGGACATGATGGAATCCGAATTAGCCAATCAGAGTCTTCAACCTGCAAAGGATAAAGAGGAGATGCTAGAATCAGAGCCAGCTAATCTGACGTCTGAAGCTGCGGTGGAGGAGGAAGAGGATATTATTGACTCCGAACCAGCCAATCAGAGCTACGAATTTGCCCAGGAAGAGGAGGAAGAAGAGGATGTTGATGAAGATGATGCTCGCAGTGCAGGTGACTTGTTTTATATCTTGAAATCACATACTTTTTCTCTTATAAAACCACAGTATGTGGAGGGAGCTTATCAGAAACATGCTAATTTGTACAATAAACATGCTAGTTCATAATAAAATCAAGCTAATATTATTTGATATTTAAAAAAAATATTATCAGACCTTTTTAGAATAAATATTAATACAAATACTAACATTTTACTCAAACACATACCTAGTAAATCCATCCCATTCATAGAAATATTTAACAATATCTACTTTTGCATTAATTGTTTTATCCCGTATTTCAGAACTGTCCATAAAAACTCCAGCTTTCGTAAAACAGAAGAGAGTGTTCGCAAGTCCTTCTGCGCAGACCACACTAACAGTCCTCAAAGAAGTGAATGCTGGGTAATTGACCAACAACATTCCTATTCTCAGTATCAATCGTACAGTGATTCCTAATGCAGTTTTAAACACTATTTCCCTCAGTGCTGGCCCTCAGGTGTCCAGACGAGCCCCCAGACAGAAGCGTCAGACGGGGACTGATGTTCTTCCCAAAAGTTACGTAATGAGCATCTTCAAGCACTTCGCCAAGACCAAGGTGGCCAGTGACGTCTATCCTGTCATTAATGAGATGTAAGAACTTGTGGAAGGATTATTTACATTTATCAGCATGAAAATATGAAGTTAATTCATATTCAAGAAAATTGATTGTGACTAATCACATCCTACAGTTGAATTTAATTTACAAATATTTCCCAAAAGATGTTTTTAGAGAGCAAGGAATTTTTCACAGTATTTCCTATAATATTTTTTTTCTTCTGGAGAAAGTCTTATTTGTTTTATTTTGGCTTGAATAAAAGCAGTTTTGATTTTTTTTAAAGCAATTTTAAGGTCAACATTATTAGCCCTGTATGTAATTTTTTTTTTTTTAATTGTCTACAGAACAAACCACTGTTATACAAGGATTTGCCTAATTGCCATAGTTAACCTTTAAATGTCACTTTTAGCTGAATACTAGTATCTTAAAAGATATCTAGTCAAATATTTTTTTACTGTCGTCATGCCAAATATAAAATAAACTATTAGAACTTATTATAAGTTATTAGAAATGGGTTATTAAAACTATTATGTTTAGAAATGTGTTAAAAAAAAATCTTCTCTCTGTTAAACAGAAATTGGGGGAAAATATACAGCAGGGCTAATAATTCAGGAGGGCTAATAATTCTGAATTCAACTGTAAAAGTTTGTATTTATGTTATATTCATCTGTGTACTGTAGAAAATACTGTGTATAGACCACAAAACCACTACTCATAAGTAGGCACACACGGAATCTGCGCACACAGAATTCTGCAGATTTTCCACTGATTTTCTGCAGAATTCTGCAGATTTTTAGCCCATTATTAATTCTGTTTATTTACTTGAGTAAATGTGTAAATCTGAATTTGTTCAGTTATTTATTACTTTTTATTTAATATATTAAGGTTTTAGTTATGATACTCTGCTGGATGCTCCCAAAATACTTCAGCAGAAATCCGCAGATTTTTACCAAAATTCTATATGTTTTCATACGTTTTTTAACGTGATTAAAGTGGTCAATTTTTGGAAAATTACTGACATTTTTAACGTAAATATTAAGTTTAAGTGAAATGTTAAGAACAGTACAGACTTTCATGGCGCCACATATGCTATGGATATGGATTACAAAGGTGCTTGTTTTAAAATGAAAGGTGTTTTTAAACGTTCTTCAAACTGCTGTTCATGAAAGTGTGGGAACCCTGACTGAAAGAAATTTTACAAAATGTCTTGGGGAAAGATTATATTTACTTTTTATTCTAATGATTTTTGGCATAAAATATATTCATTTTTTTTTTACTTATGCAGTGTGTTTTTGGCTATTGCCAATATCATTTAAATGTAAATAAATATATACAAATGTGTGTGTGTAAACATTATCTAGTACAAATGATATACAAAAAGTAAATATGTATATATTTTGGTTATGTATTTATACATGCATAACTATACACAGCACACACTTTGTATTCTTATTCATCACAGTCTTTTGAGATCACTAGATGACGTTATGTCTCCTGCAATGTCTGTTTGTTTTCTGTTTCACTCAGTCTGAAGAAGTACTTTGACCGGTTGGCTGATGATCTAGAAACATACGCAACTCATGCCAAACGTAAAACTATTGAGGTTGAGGATTTTGAGCTCCTCATGAGAAGGTAAATGTCAATTTTGTACAGCATTCTCCAAAACTCGTACAGTCACTTGTGCTGTGTTTACTTATTGAAGTACTTGTTTTTCTCAGACAGGGCTTCGTGACCGACAGCATGCCTGTAAATGTGCTGATAGAGAAGTACCTCCCGCTGGAGTATCGCAAACTTCTCATCCCGGTGGCCACCAGTGGAAATAAAGTCATCCCCACACAAAGAAGGTGAACATGCAGATATGACTCGTGTTCTTGTAAATATGTGAATACGTTCAAAACAATACAAATACCTTTTTGTAAATTATGATTTGTGTAATATATATCTGTTTCTTGCATAACCATTAAGAAAACAACTTTACTTTGTATTTTTAGCCATTAATGTATATTTTTCAAAGCATTTTTAAAAAAAAAAGTCAGACATTAAAAAATCAAACAGAATTTAAACTGAAGTCCTTGTCTTGTTTTGCATGATTGATTCCTCCACAATATTCCAGAGGAATGAGCTTTCCTCAATGATTAGCCTCAGAATTGTTCGTTGATGGAGAAATATACAGAACACAAATGTCCTCCTGAGACCCGCCCATTGACTTGTGTCCTCTGTAGTGGACATTGCGTTTTCATGAATTTTCTTTAAATTTTTTTTTGACACTCTTTCAAGTCCTGTTGTACTGTTCAGAGGACATCATGGGCTTTCTAGTGATATGTCATTTGATTGGCTGGCATGCTAGGAACCACTTCTTACACTGCATCCAAAATGGCCGACATACAAAAAAGCACATTTTATGGGAAGGAGAGAAGTGTGTAAAATTTAGCTTTTTAAATGTTTTTTTTTACTATTTGTATTAGATATTTATTTGTTTATTAAAGTGTCAGGAACAACACATTTAGCTTTCAAAGCTGTTAACTTGTTTGTGTTTCAAAAATCCTCCTTTTTTAAATGTCCACTATAGTGGACACCAGGACCATCTTAATGTAATTAAAGACTGCATGTTGTAGGAGGCAGAACTGAAGCAGAGAGGATTCTTATAAAATAGTTGAGGGAGACTCTGATTTAGAGTCTGACAGTCAGACAATTAGAAAATTAGAGACAATTAGAGAATGACAATCAGTTTTAAATCACTTTTATGTTAAATTTGTTTTGTGTTAACATCACTTTTTTGTTGTTTTTGATTTGTTTTATTGAGTTCGGCTCTCTTTCAGACTAAACTTTTTCAGGAATTTCAATACAAAATGAAAAAATGGCTTTTGTTTTGTTTTTGTTACATTAATATTGGATTATTATCCCTTTACAGCCATATCCTGTACAGTTTTGTTGTCTGAGTGGCGGTCGTTTACAAGTAAAATGGTCCTGTGGTCCACTATAGTGGACATGCTGTGAAATTAAAAATAAAAACCAAATGTAAAAATTCTAAATTGTAGGTTTTTTTTAAACCCAAAGAATGTAGGAAATCACAAAAAAAAAAAAAAGGAAATAAATTTCTTCGGGTCTCAGGAGGATATTACATAGGGCTTTCATAAAATGATTTGATTCATCCTGGTTTGGAATAGAGATTGAGATTATTAATGATGCTCTGTGTACTGTAGATTTCCTTTTGCTTTTTTTTGCAAATCGTTTATCAAAAAAAAAACATAAACGTGAGTTTGCAATGACTTCTATTTTCTTTTGTAAACTTTAGATTTTTAATATAATTTTGTGTTAGTTCATCACTAAGTAAGTACTCAAACTAGACACAGTTGCATTGAACCATGTCGGGGCGCAACCGTCCCCGATGACCCGCTCTCATGAATTCAGTTTTTTTGTCTCCACTTCACTTCCTAATCTGCAATTGCCTCTCTGGATATACCACTAACTGTACTCAAAAAAAAAAAAAAAAAAATAAATAAATAAATAAATAAAAAATGTACTAATGCTTTCCTTCTTAGACTTTACACACCTGAAACTTGCCTATAGCATTTATTCATTGTTGCTCTTATAGTTGTGTAAATTGCTTGCTTGTCCTAATTTGTAAGTCGCTTTGGATAAAAGCATCTGCTAAATGACTAAATGTAAATGTTTTTGGTCTTAATATTTTAATTTAAATAAATTTGAAAAAATGGTGGATTTCCATTTTTTCAAGTCGCAGAAGTTTAATTTAGGGCAGGAATTCTTAACCGGTAGGCCACGGCCCACGAGTGGGCCTCAGCGATCCTGCAGGGGGACCGGAAAATTAACTCTTATTATTAAGGGTGTCTTGAGATGTCGTGACATTAAATCGGTAAAATTAAGGTAAAAAGTTGTCTTGTGAGTTGAGATGTTAGCATGATGGAGCGTGTGGGTGAAATTAGCCTTGAAGATTGGAAGCAGGATTGAATTTGAACGGGGTGGGTGTGACGTAACCGAATTTTTTCCCTCACCGGAGTTAGATGTGCAGAAAGCCGCATTATTGAAGTGCAGTACAGATATGTAAACGCCGCAATTAAACTATTACATTAATTGTAATTGTAACACAGCTGTTTGACAATATATTCACGGCGTGCGCACACATACTGCTGGAGACTTAACCAGTGTTGCCAACTATTTCCAAAAAAACTAGCTAAAGCCTGCCCAAAAAGTAGCTAAATGTTGCCTGATGACTTCACGCACTAATTTGCATATCAGTGACGTCATCACGTAGTATCTGACAAGCGTAACGCCTGTTTCACACTGCAAGCGTCACGCCCTATTCACACGGGGCTTCAGCGTCAACGCTTGACAGAAGGCGTGTCTGAAGTTGGAGCTGAAACGATCGTCATAGAAGCGTCAGCCAATGAAATTCAGTCAGCAATAGGCCACTGTCTGAGCTGATGTATTTGCATACAGCGATCTGATTGGCTGACGCTTCCGTCGGCGCTTGAAAAGTTGAGATGGTCCCAACTTCTGCAGCGAGGAACGCTTCTGAAGCGGCGCCGACGGATCCACAATGCAGTTCGGCAACGCCTGACGTCACCCATTCAAAGTGAATGGGAAGCGTTGACGCTGACGCCCCGTGTGAATAGGGCGTCAGCGGCGCGTGAGCAGAGCGTGAGCAGCGCGTGTGTTTTCGGCGTCCATGTTAACAGATTAGAGCTTTCATACCGCACGCAGCAGCAGCGCGTCAGAGCGAGGCGTGAGCGTCGCCGAAGCAGCAGTGCAGCGATAGTTTCGGCGCTGGGTCTATTTTTGACGCGCTGCTCACGCTCAATTAAAGTGACAGTGCATTGACAACGACCAAAACACATTGAATGACAGTAAAAAGTAGCAATTTTACCCAATAAATGCATTAATAATGTCAAATGGTTTATATATAGTCATTCAAATTCACTTAAAACGATTTAAAACGGCAACAAACATTTATTTAGGTCCGAACTACAAAATTAAATGTAAAACAATTTTAGTATCAGTTGCACACTAGTGTTGTAGGAGAGGGGCAATAGAATATTTACGGGATTTGTAGTCCATAGCGAAGTGTATTGTGGGTAGTGTAGTTCGAAACGCATGCTGGATGATGTGAGCTCGCTGTGTTCTGTGCAGCGGAGCAGAGGAAGAAAGTTTTAATCGGCTTTGTTTTATGTTCACTCGAGTTATTCCTACCGGGAGCTGTTTGCACAAATTGCACTCTGAATCTGACAACACGAAAATAAGTAAAAGAATGGCATGCATTAATTACTTTTGTCCGTCTCATCATCTGCACGAGCATGAATTAACGAGCTGTTATTCTGCCGCTGGACATCACTGAAGCGGAGAAATTAACACTAGTTTGATCATGTATAAATATCATTATAACTATATTGTATAAATATGATTATAACTAGGTCTACAGCAACCTGATAATCAAAAAACAAATGACATGATATCACAGGTGATTGTCTTCTGACTGTAGACACTTCTCATATAAGTTAGCTTTAGAAGCATACAGTACTATTTGATCTATAAAATTTGTAAAATAAATATTTGCAGGTTAACGAAACAGCATAGGTGGGGCCTTGGTGCAGATGAAAAGTTTAAAAAGTGTATTTGTATATAGAGAGACATGGGTAACTAGATAGAATAGACAGAGATAGGTTGATCTCAGCAGCAGCTGCCGAAGAACTGCGCGCTGCAGACGCAGCTGGTGTGAAAGGCAAACGCCTGCGTGCTGCTACTGCTCGACAAACGCGCTGCTCACGCTCTGCTCACGCGCCGCTGACGCTTGCGGTGTGAAACAGGCGTGAGCCTGTCATGTCTCTATTCTCTGAGGCACTGTTTATTACATCATATTAAAACATTACATCCAGATGCACAATTAATAGGTTCTTATTAACATATGCGTGATGACATCATTCCGTAATCGCAACTTAAATCTACATCTTTATGTAGTAAACAAAATAATGTTTTGTATAAAAGAAAGTTGCAAAAGTTTATTTTAGGGCATATTTGTGTATATAGTATTTCTGATGGTTTACTAAGATATGCTAGATCTTGTAGATTCCCAATCACTCCTGAAATGGGGTTGTCAATGAATAGTTTGATAAGACAAAAAACAATCTAGGCGTAACGGTGGCACAGTGGTTAGCAATGTTGCCTCACAGCAAGAAGACTGCTGGTGCCAGCCCCTTCTGGGTCAATTGGCATTTCTGTGTGGAGTTTGCATGTTCATCCTGTGTTGGAGTGGGTTTTCTCTGAGTGCTCCGGTTTCCCCCACAGTCCAAACATATGCGCTGTAGGTGATTTGAATGAGCCAAATTGGCTGTAAGTGTATGAGTGTGCATGCATAGTGTATGGGTGTTTCCTAGTGGTGGGTTGCAGCTGGAAGGGCATTCACTGCGTAAAACGTATGCTGGATAAGTTGGCGTTTCATTCCACTGTGGCGGCCCCCGATAATAAAGGGACTAAGCTGAAAAGAAAGTGAATGAAAAAACAATCTAGAAATCTTGTTTTTGCATGCTGTGTCCACCAGATGGCAGTCACACTCCACCAAGAACAGTTTCACAGACAAAGATGTTGTTTCTGCACTTGTATATAACACACATTTTCAACATTTCATGCTGATTTATAAATAAAACATGCAAAATAGACATTTTAGTATTCTTCATATCAATTATAGACTATCACTAAGCCCAGGGGTGACCAATCTCCCTCCTGGAGGGCCGGTGTCCTGCAGATTTTAGCTCCAACTTGCTTCAACACACCTGCAAGGATGCTTATAGACTGCCTAGTAGGAGCTTGATTAGCTAGCCCAGTCTGTCTGATTGGGGTTGGAACTAAACTTTGCAGGACACCACCCTCCAGGATCGAGTCTGGACATCCCTGACTAAGCCTATCATGACTAAATCTAGTAGAAATAAACGCTTCACTTAAGCTTAAAGTCAATGAGGCACAAAAGACCATGACATTTTGTAAATACAGTATGGCTGAATGAAAC